ACACACTGAGGGGCAGGGAACAGATTCAGGTGAATTTGGACAGGTTGGAAATGTGGGCAGAAAAGAACAGGATGCAGTTTAACAAAGATAACTGCAAAGTGCTGCACCTAGGTTGAAAGAATCAACAACACACAGACTAGATGATGACTTTCTAAGCAACACAGCAGCAGAAAGGGATCTCGGAGTCATAGTAGACTCCCAGATGACCATGAGTCGTCAATGTGATGAAGCGATAAGTAAAGCCAACTGCACTCTGTCATGCATTAGCAGGTGCATCATGAGCAGATCTAAGGAGGTGATACTTCTTCTCTGTGTGGCATTGGTGAGGCTGAAGCTGGAGTGCTGCATGCAGTTTTGGGTGCCGCAGTTCAAAAGGGATGTGGATAACCTTGAGAGGGTCCAGACGAAGGCCACTCTTATTGTTAAGGGCCTGCAGGTAAGGTCCTACGAGGAGAGATTGAGAGACCTGGACCTCTTCAGCCTCTGCAAGAGAAGGATGATCTTGTGGCCATCTATAAATTCATCGGGGGTGGGGGCAGCAAGGAATAGGAGATAATCTATTTACCAGAGCGTGCCTCAGGGTAACGAGAAACAATGGAGCAGATTTAGATTAGACATCAGGAAGGGTGACCAGAAAGAGATCTTGGAGTCAGTATTGACTCCAAGATGAACATGGGCCGACAATGCGAGGCCATGGTTGGCAGGGCTAACTGGACCTTGTCGTGCATCCACAGGTGCATCTCGAGTAGAGCCAAGGAGGTGATCCTCCCCCTCTACGCGACGCTGGTCAGGCCACAGCTGGAGTATTGTGTCCAGTTCTGTGCGCCACATTTCAAGAGGGATGTGGACAACATGGAGAGGGTCCAGAGGAGGGCCACCCGCATGATCCGGGGACAACAGGGCAGACCCTACAGTGAGAGACTGCGGGACCTGAACCTATTCAGCCTCCACAAGAGAAGGCTGAGGGGGGACCTGGTGACCGTCTATAAACTCACTAGGGGGGACCAGAAGGGTTTGGGGGAGACGCTGTTTCCCCTAGCGCCCGCTGGCATAACAAGGAGTAATGGGCACAAGTTGATGGAGAGGAGGTATAGATTGGACATCCGCAAAAACTACTTCACAGTTAGGGCGGCTAGGAGCTGGAACCAACTTCCAAGGGAAGTGGTGCTGGCCCCTACCCTGGGGGTCTTTGAGAAGAGGCTGGATGCCTACCTGGCTGGACTCATTTGAGTCCCGTTTTTGTTTTGGGATTTTGTTGTTCTCCCGCCCTGGCGGGGGGTCGGGCTAGAAGATCTACTAGGTCCCTTCCAACCCTAAATCTATGAAACTATGAAACTATGAAACCTGGAATGGGCTCCCAAGGTCTTTAAGAGGAGACTAGACAAGCACCTGGCTGGGGTTATCTTACCCTGGTGCTCTTTCCTGTCCAGGGCAGGGGGTTGGACTCGATTAATAGCTTTTGAAGTTAATGTTAGTGTGTGTGGATGGTGCCAAATTTGACTACACTACAGATTAAAGGCCATTCTATTGAATAGATATAGCACAGTTAAAGTCCGTAGAAATTTCCCTACCCCATACTGCCAATGAATTTCCAGGGCTACCTGTGAAAGTGGGAGGAAGGTTCAGTGTCTATACCTGTTTGCTCATTTAATCCTTTTACTCTTTCCAGCTCAGGAGTACAATTGATGTAGTGTTGCTCTTGATAAGAAGAGCACTTCTCTGAACTGTAACTATTTGTATATTACTGATGAGCCCCCGCCTGGCGGGGGGGGGATATTGTCTGGATTTTAATTTTTTGTTACTTTATCCAATTGTAGTAGTAGTAGTAGTAGTAATAATAATAATAATATCACACTTGCACTCTTGCATTCCACCTTACAGTGGCCATTGGTTGAATAGGGTTTTACCCTCAGCTATGCTGCTTTTAACGTTCACTTTTTATTAACAAAGCTAATGTGAAAGCAAAGTGTTTCATGTTGCCAATTTAACTTCTTTAATTAAAAGTGAAAGTTGTAAGCTGGTACAGCTGTGGGTAAAGTTCTAATGTCATCAATGGCGAAAATAGGTTTAAAATTGAAACTGTTGGCACAGCAGTGGCTCTCAATAGTGCAGCACCTGCAGTTGTGACTCTTAACTTTTATTTAATGAAAAAAAAAAGAAATTGAAGTATTAAAGTCCCCTAGTATAGGGTGTGTGTGTCTCTGTGTGTGTGTATATATGTGTGTGTAAAAGAAAATGTAAAGCTCTCAGTGCCTTAATTGTGATGGAAATGTGACTGAAAATACAAGGCAAACCTGCACCCAAGGGGAAAGCTTTGAGAGCTTTTAAAATACAATTCCTATGAGCGTGAAGCTTGAGAATGTTTCTGAATCCTGTCATATATCTAACTTGTTAAATATGATGCAAAATTCATATCAAGTGCAGCACTGATTTTACAGATTACATGGATAAATTATTATTCCACTAAATTTATGAACTGTAAGCATTGCATCAACAAAAGGGACTATTATTCTACTTATGTACATAATAATCCGTGCTCTGATTTGGAAAAAAAAAACACTGAGGGGGATGTAGTTAAAAACAAAAATTAATGTAGTAAAAACAACCCTTTTTTTAAAGAAAAAATTGAATACTTTCTAAATGCAGAAGGACCTCCGCAGATACAGATCTCCCATGTGCAAGTCGTGACACCTTTTGGGTCTTTCTAAGTATGCACATATCTAAGCTAGGAAAAAAGGTCCCAGCAAGTTAGGGAAATTGACAAACTGTGGACTTGAAGCACTTTAGTTTCTTATTTATTTGAAACCTTATATCATATTGTGTATTTTAATTCATCTACAGACATTAAACTGATTAAATATGTTACCACATATTAAAGTGTTAGAAAATATTTATCACAGATGAGCATGTTGTTATACTCTACTGGAGGCAAGGTTTAGTATCTTATAAAGAGAAGGGTTGGTAATAGTCAATTGTAGTTAACCATGACTAGGAAAACAAGTTTCCACAGATGTTAATGTCTGTCTACGCTAGCATGTAAAAAGTGCTAATTAGAATATTTATAATATATTAATTATTTTTCTTGTTTAGATGTGACCAAAAAGATGTGGGAGTTTGTGCTAGTAGGTTGTATCAAAAACCAAAATCATTGAATAGTGATGAACAAGTGTGAAAAAAAAAGTTACTTCCCTGGTTTAACATTTTTATTTTTAGTATCTTTTTCATTTATTGTTTAAGGTGTTTACGTGCATTAGGGTGTTTTGGAAGAAGTGCATATTTTCAGGACAAAAAGGATAGAGATACAGCACACTGGGTGTAGAGCAGGGTTCCAAGTATAAAGGTTGGCCTAAAGTAAAACTTGGAGACCAGAGTAAAAAAGGATATGAAAAAGTAGTATTAAGAAGATGGCTTGAGTGGAATAAAAAGAGACAAAAAGGAATGGGAATTGTTTACACTTGCAGCTGTAAACTCACTATTAGGTTTTATGGAAAGATTAAGCTAATATGCCTGATGACTTTCAGACGTGCAGTGAAGTCTTATTTAATCCAATTTAGTCCTGTTTTTTGGCATGATGCCTTTTAATCTACATGCAGTGTAATTTGAAAAAAAAATAATGTCAGTAAAGAAAATTCAGAGTGAGTTTCGCTTTAACTGCCAAAGTATCTGTTAAGAGGGAGTCAGATCTGTTCTAGGTTGTGTCTGCCAAATTAGGTCTCTCCTCAACCTTTGCTGTTCTTTTTGGACTTCCAAATTCCTACACTCTAAATGAGAACACATAAAATATTCAGCAAAAATCACCAACCAAAAAACTATCATCACTTATATATTTGCAAATCAGTTTCCTTTCTGAAACCTTGAACCTTTCTCTGATTTAGAAACACTAAGGAGAGGAAGGGAATGGCATAAATATTGTTATTCCTGTAGCCTGTTAGAGGTTAACTGGAAACTTAACATGCAAAGAAATGTACAAAAGAAAATAAGAGAAAATAATTATACCTTTCAAGTGCCAAGACAAGAATAATTGTTCACATGATGATCATGACTTTTATTGTGACTGCTTATAGCTTTGATATGTTGTTTTATCTTAATTTTAACCAGTCATACTATAGAGAACCTAGAATACTACATTTGTAATTTGCCTGTAATTTTGAGTCATTATTGAATTCCATAAATTTGATTTTTTTTTCCTAATTCATTTTAAAAATATATAAACATTACAGTCATTATAGTTATAAGCTTTTACATATATTATGTAAATAAGTATAGGATCAGGATCCTTAGCTGTATTTTATGTATAGGGCATATGGTTGTTATTTATGGATTTAAAAGTTGCCATTTGCCTATTAAAAATTGCCATTTGGCATGTACTGCTCTTTAAATGACAAAATTAATAAAACTAAGAGGCAAGCATTAATGGCCTAAACCTTACACGTTTTTATGTTGTATAAAAGGTATGATTTTACAGAATATTTGCATCTGTAATTATGCTGCATTAATAGCTAAGAGGAAGCCTTTACAAGATTTATGTACATTCTCTGTCAATAGCTGCGTATTAAAATAAAACCTTAAATAAGTTTGTCAGTACAATATGGGAGTATAATTGACTTACTGAGTTAAATCAAAATGAGATAATGAAAAACACCTGATAGATGCTTAATTCAGATATTTTCCTTTTCTGAGTTGTTTTCATAATGAATGCATATATACCTATTAAATAATAGAAACATATTCCAACTTCTGTTGAAACTTTAGAGTTGGTAATAACGTAAGTAGATTGAGCCTTTTTGTTTAAACCTCCACTAGATTTTATTTACAACTGAATATTTAACAGTGTATTGGGTGAGGCCTACAGGCTTGAAATTGCACTTCTATGAATTTAAGCATCCCATCCTTGACACCTTGTATCCTGTTCCCCTTTCTTTGCTATTTTTTAACTTACTGCAACATGAGGGGTTCTAAAACCATCTGTTAACCTTTTTTCCATTTTTTTAAACACGTAGAGTCGCTCAAGGCAAGAAGACCCAGAGCAAGCTAGACTGAAACAAAAAGCAAAGGAGGTAAGCAGAGCTAGAGATCATTACACTTGACATTTCAAGGCTTGAACATATTAATTTTTTATGCCTTGCTACTTGTATATCGTTAATAAAAATCTGACTAAAAACTTTTTAGGATGTATTTGTTGCTCTGCCTTTGATCTTAATGTTTGCAAACTAATACATTAATACATGTGAAGCCTAAGGAGATTTTATAAGAGAATATTTCCATACATTACATTTTCATTTCCATTTTAGGTGGCTGTAGCTTTTGTTGGGTTGTTGATGACAGCAGCATTAGATTTTGGTGGAAAAAGTATGCCTTTGTCTTTCTGAAAATGTCATTTTTTAGAAATGTGTTACTTTTGCTTACCAGTTTTGTTGTTGTAACAATTAATGTTACTAAATAATGTCATTACCTATGCACCACTTCTTTCTCTATAGGGATGTCTTGTATTTATTCAGTCACTAGTCCTAGTTCCTGTACTTGAAAGAAGAAAAAAAAAAGCAAGTAACAGTAGTTGTAGTTTTGTTCTGATAGTTTGAGGGGACAATTCAGTAGGGTGCTAGGTGCCTTAAACCCTCACAATGTGAGGGGAACCTATTCCTGGCTTAAAGAATGCGTATGCTCAGATCAGTCCATAACTACCTTCAGATAGAAAGACCTAAAATATTCATCAGTTGAAATACTGTGCCTCAGCAGTAACCTACTTGGCAAACCCTGGTCACTGTTAGTTGTACCTAAATTCCAATATTATGAATGAAAAGCATTAGGAAATATTGTTATGCGGAAAGAGACATATGACAATTCTTCCTGTTTATCTCTCTCCTCTATTCTTTGTTTGCTCTGTGTTTTCAATATTTTATAATTCCCAAACCCATAAAAATTGTGTTTATGTGTAAACAGGCAGTAAATCTGTTAAATAGGTGAGGTTTCCTTTCACTGTGTGAATTATTACAAATTGCTATAAATATGCAATAAAGAAGAGTTGTCTAAAAAGAGTTTATATAAACTTTGTACCATGGGTCACTGTGTTCCCACTTCAACGATTTTGAAAATGTTTTCATAATTTATGCAAGTCACAGCATTGTAAAGCAAGCTAGTGACAAAGATTGCTAAGGTGGACAGTAGATATAAAAGAAAAAATGGTTTTGAAAGTGTTCGAAAATAATTGAAGGCAGTGAAATGTAGCAAAACATGCTACTGAAATGACAACTAAAGCTGTGCTACTGCTGGAAGTGAGAAAGAAGCGCTGTTCAAATGTTCATGGTTTATACTTCCTGTAAAGCTAAGCTAGCTAGATAGTGGCTTTAATTATATTTTATATCTTGTTGTAAGTAAACTGTCTCAAAAATATTTGCAGTTCATTGGATCTGGGGTGCCACAGTCTCATTCAGTGCAATCCTGATTAGTTCATTGGATGTTTGGCAAAATAAAAATGCTTAGCTGTGTTAGTAAAAATATACATTTTAAAAAGTAATCAGACTGCAATAGGATTAGATCTTTATAGGAAAACTTACTGTCTAGCAGATTTAGTTGTTTGTTTTGAGTAATTGTAAGAGCACCACTTTGAATTGAAAAATTGGAAGGAACCTCAGTATACGTTGCATTTCCTGATCCACTAGAGGGAGTGTTGCTATATACATATGAATAAGAGAAAATGTATAATTGTTAAATATTACTGAGTTAATAAATATTTTGGTGATAAGCTAATTGGTAATATTCAGATCAAACTGATGTGTGATTTTTATAGTAGTAGTACTGTTGTCAAGTACGTGATAACCTGTTTGAGTTTATGTGGAATGAATACCAGGTTTTTTGTTCAAGTGCTACATCTAGGTTTTTGTACCTTAGCCCTGCCTTGCTTCCCACCCTTCTAATGAAAGTGCATAATTGGCTAGCAGTCTGGTGCTGTCTAAGGTTGAATTTCATTCACCATATTTAAAACTGTACGAAATACAGGATAAGACTCTTCTTTTAGTATTTAAACTCCTGAAACTCTTTTTTCAGTTTATTCAGTGGTTTTTGACCAAAAATATTTTAAAATATTTTAAAAGGGGTAAGAGAAAACTAAGAATGATATGATTTTAGTTTGATATTTTTAATGTCGCTTATTTGGATCAGTAGCTGATTGTATACTGACTGTCAATTGCATTGGAACTGCTGAGACAAAATAACCAGTTTTGTAATACAAAAAGATGTATTAGCCAGATGGTGTTTGGGGCATTACATTATTTGAAATGAAAAGCTTTGAATTAACTTTAAAAATTGTTTCAGTTTCAAAACTGCACTGCCAGCTGGTCTTTTCTTGAATGAGCAGATGATCCACATTCAAGAAGAGAATTTTGTCTCCCTCCAGGTTCTGTGTAAACTGATGACGGTGATACTGTTAGGTTTACAAGGATTAGCTGAATTAGAAATGATGTTTCCCTGATCTGTAATTGTCTTAAACATGGGCTTTTGGAAATACTTGTCCACGTGCCCTTTTGGCTGGTGGGAAGCCTGTTGTTTAGTCAATGCTGTCCAGAAAGGCATGCAGTATGAATCCAAGATGCTTAGTTTACGTAGAATATTTTCAGGTTTTGTCTTATACTAGATGGATATTGACCTGCTTGTAAGCAGGAAGATGTGGAAATAAATTAGTTTATGTTCATTATTTGTAAAACAGTTGAAAATGCCTTAACTATTTCTAGAAGACACCATATTAGTGTAAATGTGTAAGGTTTGAGTGCTGTATACCCATATTTCAAGAGTAATACCTGTATATTCATTAGAGACACAACAGACTGAAACAGTCCCCTCATCCTCATTTTTCTGTGCTCAAAACCATGCTCTGGATCATACCACTTAGCCTAATGATCAAAACGGGATAGAGATCGGAAGCTGGGAGAAGGTCAACTGTAGATTTAGAAAGCGGGAAATATAGTTACTGATGGAACATGAGTGGGACCAAAAGGTATGAGGAAAGAGAAATATACACCAGAGACAAAAATGGGGGGAGAAAGGTGAAATTAGAAAACAAATGGCTTACAGAGAACTTAAGGAAAAAATAAATGAAAACACTTAAAATGAAAACCATGAGAAGTTTAGTTTCAGATTTGCAAGAGAAAGGTATCAAAATATAAGTAAACCAAAACAAGTCTACACGGTGGTCTGTGCTGTTTTAGTTAAATCCTACATACTTTTGGTTAAACTAGTGTAATTCTATATTGAAAGGGCTGTAAAGTGATCAGTGAATATATACTAATATATATACTACTTATGATCACATTTTAATTTTGAACTTGTTTAACAAAACAGTACTATATTATGTTAATATTTATTTCAAGAAAAATAACATTAAAATGAAGTTATTTCAGTTGCATTATATTCTACATGACTCTTCGATTACAGGCAACTCCTGCTTAATGCTGTTTTGCTTAGCGCTGTCTTGCTATAATGCTAATTTTAAATTGATACATGATTTCACTTAGCACTCAGTAAATTGTGTTATAATGCTCACGGTCACAGTCTTGGGTCATTAAAAACACTTGCGGTCGCCATCTTGGGTTGTCAGATATTTTCGGTTTTGCTTAATGCTTGTTTAGCTTAACGCTTGGTTTTTCACTAACCAATTAAGGCCACTAAGCAGGAGTTGTCTGTAAAATTTAAAAAAGAGAAAGGAAGATCTAGTATGTTTGCTAGACCCGTATAAGGAATGGCAAAATTTGTGGGCACTGTGCCCTGTGTACAGGATGGTTACATCTTTTCAAAATCAAATTTTAGAAAAAACACTAGCAAGTATCTATAGGAAGAATGGAAGATCAACCACAAATACGAGTTAAAGAAATGAGTTCTCTAACTTACGTAGAAATAAGGACATAAAACAAAACATATTGGTGCTAGCTGGAATAGAGCAAGATTAGGAGTAATTGAGTCAGCACGTGATAATTAATAATATAGATGGTTCAAAAGAAAGATAGCATAGGTGAGAACCTAAACATACTTTTTTGTTAGGATAATTTCTGGTATATCCAGTGTCCATTAACTGAGAGTTAAAACTGAAATATCCAAGTTTATTCATTCTGCTGGAATAATTTAAAGTCTTTATATCATCACTAACAAAGGGTATTGCATACAAATGAAAACCAAAAAACACAGATCAAAATGGGGGACACGTAGCTGGATGGCAGCTTTATGGGAGAGGACTTGGGAGTCTTGATAGACCACAGACTCAATATGAGTCTGCTGTGTGATGCAGCCGTATAAAAGGCAAATGCAGTTCTTATTGCAACTTTTATTGCAAAAGGCAACAGAAAGATTAGGTGCAAGACACAAGAAGTGATAGTACCTCTCTACTCAACACTGTTTATGCCTTATCTGGAGTACTCTGTGCAGTTCTGGGTTCCAGTTCTGGGTTTTAAAAAGGATGTGGAGAAGTTAGGTTCCAGAGGTGGGCAACAAACATGATCAAGAGCTTGGAAGGCAAGTCATATTCAGAGAGGCTGAAGAGAGGCATGTTCAGTTTGTGGAAAAGGCACTTAAGAAGGGACGTGATAGCAGTCTTCAAATACTTGAAGGACTGCCATGAAGAAGGAAAGCATGGTTTTTCTCTGTCTACGGAGAAGAGTGGACCAATGGCTTGAAACTTCAGCAAAGTAAATTTAGATTGGATATCCAGAAACATTTCTTCACTGTTAGAATATTGAAGCAGTAGAATAGACTGACTGGGGAAGTTGTGCACTCTATCACTGGAGGTGTTCACCAAGAGGTTGGACAGTCACTGGTCAGGAGTCTAGGCATAGCCACGCTTGTTTTCTACTGTGAGTATTTCCCATGCTTCTGGGCTTTGCTTGTTGAGTTCCCTCCCTCCTCTGCCTTTTTTCTGCTTTGTGTCAGGGTGTTTTTAAACCTCCCCAAAGGCATTGGGTGTTGGCTATAGCTAAGGCTGGGGACTTCAACTGGGGTGTGCTGATTCTCTTGGTAGGAACAGTGTTGGAGGTTCCTGGCTAGAGGGTCTTGCCCCTCTGTTCAGGGTCCAACC